GTCAAGCCCCCCCCCCCACCGCCGGACAGAGCTCGTCGGGCAGTCAGACCATGAAACATATAAAAATAGGCCCACACTAAGCCAACACATGTCTGTCACAGTCTGAGAGTGCCATTTTCGGCCATCCGGAGGTTGATTATTCTTTTAAAAAATCTCATTTGGGAGGGGAACCCCCTCTCAACTCCTTCCTCCAGCTCGAGCCTACGAGCTCAAGTCCCCCTGTCGGACAACTTAGCCCCACAGAAAATATATCCTAGAGCCGCCACTGCAGCTGGAGCGGATGCAGGATTTGGCGGTAGGGGATAAAAAAGTATTTTGTACATATTAGTAGACTCTAAAATCGATTAAATATGCCTTTTGAAACTGCTAAATTGTCAACATTTCAGGGGCTTCGTCCCCTAGACCACTTTCGAGGCATTTAAAGCGACGTCCTACCACGTCCACTTTGTTCTCGTCGGGGAAGTTTTCGCCCTCGTCGGGGATATCGGCCCCTCTGTCGGCGACCTCGGACCCCCGTCGGGCAAATCCTGGCGCCAATCCTGGACGTTTACCCCTTCCCCATGATCTGCGCCCATGGGTGCGTGAGAGTCCACCCCAGCCCCATCATGGTTGGGGCTGCGGTACAAAAACTTTGAGAATATGGACTCGGAAATCTTACCAATAATTCATATCAACAATATAATACAACAATTATTTTTTTAAAAATACAATTTAGGGGGGTGCGATCACACCCTCCGCACCCACCGGCATCCGCCCCAGGGCAAAAAGAGAGAACTCTTTCGTCGTCAGAAATGATCATGAAGTGAAGTTTCACCGCTATAGTTTAGGCCTACAATTGTGTTTATTTTATATAGATTAATGTTTCAGTTATCCCCCCACCCCCAATCACCCTATGTAGAACTGGCCATGTTTTTGTATAAAAATGTCTTACATTGATATTTAATAGTAAAGGTACGATTAATACAGTATCATGTTTAAAATAAGTGTGTGATAGCTGGGACCTATAAAACATTTCAGTCCATTGGAATAATCCCCTGTCACGAATTTAATCAAGATGTTTCTGACGACTCTTTAAACTGTCGGATTTTTCAGATAAGCCCAAATCTCGGGGGTTTCTTTATAGCACATTAAGTAAGGAATATACTATTTACTTGAGGTTAAATCATTTTTCTAAATAATTAATACTCCTAGTAATTATTATTACTATGTAGCGTTCTCTCTCGTTATTATTTATTTATTTATTCTTAAACCATGGAATTAGAATTCCTCCATGATTAGACTAAACTTTAAAAAAACAGAAAAAAAAAGAAAAATAGTTTTTCAGTGAAAATTAAAAACAGAATATTTCTTCGCCAAATAAAAATTCTAAATTCTAGAATGTTTCTAAGCCACCGTAAAACCTCGAATAGAAGCCCTGTACTTCAACGAGATGGGCTTCTTTTCGAGGCTCTTGTGCAAAGTAAAGAAGGGGGCTTCTTTTCAAAATGAATACTGAACATTTTAGGAATAGCTACTATAAAACAATAAATAAGGCCACTGTAACATCAATCTGTAATATCATTGAATGTATTAACCGGCAATCACCTAAACTGCTGTGCAAACCAGGTGTGTTTTTAATATATTTTGTTTCTTGGAAATTCATGTACAGTGGATATACTGTGGGCCTACTACTGTATCTCGAAAAGAAGCTCATGGGCTTCTTTTCGATATGGGCTTCTTCTTGAGATTGGACTTCTATTCGAAATTTTACGATATATATTCCTGGCTCTTAATTAGTTTATTTGAAGGGCCAAATTATTTTTAGATTTGATGTCACGGGAAGGCAATCTCTGACTTTCAAGTATCTTGCTATAATTTATGGGCCTGGTAAAATTGGAGATGCTGTGACCGAAGGCCCCTGTTGGCTGTTGTACTACAGCACAATATTAGGACACTAAATTCATTACAATTTTTGCACAATAAGGTTGATATAATATTTTGCCAAAAACTGGTGGCACCAATATTTGCCCAACGGCAAGGGAGGAACGATGTCCCAGAACCTCTGAAAGGGATCCTGGGGGATAAACTCCCGGAAGCTCTAACTATTTAGTAATTTTTAATGCTTAAAGATTGTAATCGATCTTACAGCCTCATATTCTGCAAAAGCTACATACGATTTTCCCCTAACGAGTTGAGTTCTTGTTTGAGAGAGAGAGAACACCCTCTGACGGGGAATCTGCCTCTGCACTGGCGGCAGACTTTGTTGGGAACTGACGGTTTTAAAGTAGGCCTCTAGCATGATAAGTGGTAATACAGCTTTCAAGCCATTAAAAGTGAAGCATTTAAAGCAGTCCTCGAATAGTTGCATAGACATAATAATAAGCAGGCTTATACAGATTTGAAATTAAAAATATTAAACATATTTTCATGCCAAAAAATATGTTCGGATTCGCTGGACATTTAATGTTGTCGGTGACTGGTAATAGAACTTGTCATGTCTTTTTTTCTTTGTGCAAGTGTAACTGTGGGCCAAGTATCGTTGCATGAATTGGGCTTTTTTCCCTATCAGAGTAAAACCAGTTATTTGTTTTCTATCATATTAACCTTGCTTTTTACGCCTAACCAAATATTGTTACCTGCTCGGACGTCGTCCATACAACAACCCCCTTATATACTAATCCTTTAGGAGTATATTTCAAACCGAATTACAAGTATAATCGTGACAAAACACAGTAGTTTTGTTTTGTTTGTTTGTTTGTTTGTTTGTTCAACTTAATAGTTTGGCAGACAATCGGTATTATATGTGTGATTTCACCTCCTATATATATCTACAAAACACTAGGGCTTTAAACTCTAAACAAATTTCGCCTGTAAAATTTCGGGTCTACTCATAATTGTCTCTAATAAAGTTTTTATTTTTTATTTGATATGTCAGTAGATAAAATTCACCTAAAATCACCTTATTTTGCGAATTAGCGCCCCTCAACTGATCATCGAGCACCCACCACTTCACCTTCTCGCCCCCATCAGCTCCCCACACCCCCATTTCAAAACATCTAGATACGCCACTGACTTACATGGCCAGATGAATGAAAATACTCAATCGATGTGCCACCAAATCGTAACCTGCCTTCACATTGCCCTCACGATGTCACCGGGGACGCAACTGCCAAAAGACTATTTTTGGCAGCGAAGGAATGCTACCAATAAACAATCAACAAACTACCGGGTTTCTGGGTTGATTTGCAAGATACTGCATGGCTCAACTATTTTTTACTTAGTGGTTAATCGGTAAAAATCGTACACAAATCATACAACGTCACTGACAACGCCGGGAACTGCAACTCGATTTTGAGATTAATTTTACAAATAAAGTAATACTAAGTAACTTCTAATGACGAATTATTGTCTTCATTTGTCTTTGTTGTTCATTCAACTTTCATTTTATTCATTTTTT